AAAAGATTGTAAAATCCTAAGTTCTAAGGCTGAGATAATAGAATCAAGAGAATGATCAAATGTCCAGAGGTTGAAAAATTATGAGCTAAATCTTGCTGTGAAAATGCATTGGTTATTGCATGCCTAGAGAAATAATAAACTGAAGACATATAAACAGTTAAGAGTATTGTGTGAGTTGTATGTGATCATACTTTCATACAACTAAGAATTTAGGATTTCAGAATTCTGAGGGATGCTGCTGAGTTAAATGCTCAAATTGATGTTGCCTCCGGTGGTGTTTACGTTTGCATATTTCTGGACTGCCCCCTCATGCTCGACTCAATGTCGTCAGATAATGATCTCTCAACTTTTCTTTTCTTACCATGGCTTTTGGATAGGTCTTTCTTCTCATCCATTAGGGATAGCAATCTGTGGAGATGCCCGGTGCGGGAGGTACTACCCTCAGGTGAAGCAGATTCTGGTGGTGGAACTTTGCCCAACCGCTGAAATATCTGCAGAAAGTATACTAATAGAGCAATGAAGCAAGCAATGCCACAGATCAAAAAGAGGCCCCAGAAGCTGCTTAGATGAAGTCGGTCTGATTCAATCTCAGTACCATCTGAACTGCAACTGCTTTGCTGCAGCCACTTGTCATGTATGCGCTGCAGATCACCATTCTCAGCAAGTGCTAAAATTGCAGTTGACATATCAACAGCTAAAGGAGAGTCCCGCGGAAAAGCCTAGCAAGAAAATGATCCAAACAACGAAAGAACAAGTCAAGAAACGTTATTGAACTTTAAGGATCTTTTATGCATAACATAAAAATATATCAATTGGATTTTCTTGCAGGGATTTGTAAATTCCAGCTCTAGTGATGGTGTTTGAACAGAAAAATAACTTCCTATGACACTAATACACATTTCCATCTTCAATAATTCTCAGAACTGAGGAATCTAGGAAAAGGATACTTACAAAACCCCATCCGCTTTTGGTGAACTCTTGACCTAGAATCCTAAATGAGCAATGGCTTGAAAGGAAAAGTTCCACATACGGACGTTCATCAACCAATGCAGCAACACCCCCTTTTTTTGTTGGACCAAGTTTGAGTGCATTAGCATATGCTTCAGGTGATCCAAGGGGAACAAGCCTAGACTTAGATATGTTAAGCTCCTCAATTAGATAATGTTCTGCAAAAGAACCTACTTGAAATCCAATTGGATCATCATTTTCTTGCAGGGTTTCAATTCCTTTGATTGGAGAAGATAGCCGCTGAACTGTGAGAATTGATGTCAGACTTGCAGTGTAGCTTGAGTTGATTATCAAAACCACAAAGAGCCATATAATTAACACCAATCGACCAAGGGTGCTCATAGTGTTCTCTCCTACAAAAGGAATATAGCAATTATTAGTTAATCATACAAACTATGCTGCCTAATCCCTTGCCATTAGCAAAAATTTATTAAAAAAAAAAAAATTGGAGTTCTTACTATGGGCAAAAAACATAGTTGAGAAGCTAAACCTGCAGGGTCAGCAAACAAGATATGGATTAGATACAAAATCACTTCACAGGCTTGTTTAATATAAAAATAAAGAAAAACAAATCACAATCCATTTGTAAATCTTCTAAATTCTAGGCAACACCTGCCCATCAAGGTGGTACCTGTGGCGGAAAGGCTCCTGAAAAATGCTAACCATCACAACAGGACTTTGGGATAAGAATCTCACCATAGAATAGTTATAACTTGATGGTTAGGAGGGCCCCTAAATTCATCATTTATTCTGTGCTCCAAAATCCAAACAACTATTCCAACAACAAGAAAGAAACAAGCCGTGACAGTCCACATGAGAGGATTAAATGGCCGCAGAAAAGCCCAAGCACTAGAGTTCTGTTTCTTAAATGGAGCAACAACAACCAGTCCTGATGAAACAAATGGCTGTGTAAAATCCACTATCCTTGTCCGGTTTGTAACAATAGAAATATCACCAACAACAGCATCAAACTCCTGTGACCAAAAACAAAGGATTTAGTCAGCAGAGAAAATAATAAAACCAACCTCTTACAATTTGAATTTATAATGTAGTACTCACACCCGTTGTAATCTTTCCCACAAGCTCAGTGTAACTTGGGTTTTCTCTACTGTTCCCAAATGGTACAAATTTATATGGGACGGCATAGGGCAACAAATTTACAGCAGCTATAAATACATCTATGCAGAATCCCTTGAATGTACCAGTCCCTTTCTCTGGTGATACAAATTGCTTGAAACCAACCCGAATAGGTACTCCAATTCTCAATTGCTTCCCATTATTTGGAAAAACCCATCCACGAGGTGTTGACAATGTGTCTCCAGGCCATATAACACTGTATAGTTTTTGGCTTGCTCTTGAACGATTTGGTGGCATTGCATAAAGTGTCTCAGGAGGTATGGTTGATAAACCAGAATAATTAGACCAGTAACCAATCCTTCTAAATCCAGTTCCTATCACATTAATGATGTCATATGCAGGAAGAATAAGAGATCTGTCTGAACCAAATTTGATAGGACCTGTCAAACCAACAAAATCACTCTGCAATATGTTGTTTAGCAAAAGACTTCCACCATCAAAAATATTCATTGCATCGAGATGGAGAGTACTGCCTCCCAGAGACTGTATCCTAGAATCATTAGAAAATGAAATAGACCCGCCCTGGTTGAAAAAAGCATCAAGAGCATAAGCAAGTAGCCAAACAGAATCATAAGCATACAACCCATAAGAATTCAACCCTGGAGAACCTCCAGTTATCTTGTTCCATCTTGAAAAGAAGGTTTTCTTTCTATCAGATTGCACAGTGTGTTGGCGTAGAACAAGAACTCCTTGAATTGTATCCATTGTTGCAGAAGGGAGAGGTGAATCAGAATCCAAAACTGAGGACAGCCAATCTGTAGCTATCCATACATAGCCATTTCCCATCATTCCAAGATAGTTTGCCACTGAAAAAACCTTCAAGCCCATTGTATCATTTACATGTAGAACAATGACCCGAGATTCCATCAGTGCGACCTTAACGAGAAGATCCATGATTTCATTATGGCTTGCATCAGAATTAGGGGGAATTCCCACCTTGTAGGAGATTTTACAGCGCCTTTCTGCAAGTTTATCATTTAATGCAGAAACACCATTCCTCCCATAATCATCATCAACAAAGATGGCAGTTACTTCCTTCCAACCATAATGGTCGACAATCTCAGACACTGCAGCCATTTGGTGCAAATCACTCTGTGTTGTCCTAACAAAAAAGGGGAACTGAAGGGAAGTGAGAGTAGGATCTGTAGCTGCAAATGATAGTAAAGGGACTTTGAGTTCATTTGCAACATGGGATATGCTATGGGCAACAACAGAACTTTGTGGACCTATGATGGCGATAACATCATCCTCCATATATCGCATAGCTGTTAGCAACACAAAAATGACCATCTATAATTAGGATTGGTACAACATCGTTCTTTAATGAAGTCTGCTATTCAAAACAATAAATAATAAATCAACCACAAATCAAGCAAGAAGCCTAGATACTATACCAAAGTACCTTCAATCATGCCAAGAAACCCACTGCCATTGGAATCATGCATCGTTACAGAGAGTTTGGTCCCATGAAGAATGCTGGAGTTGGAGTTGACATCATCAACAGCTTCTGGAATGGCAATCTTGGCTACTCTTCCAATAGCAGTGTCGAATTGAAAAATTGCCCCAATCTTTACAACAGGTGGCCTTGAGGAAACATTTCTTGCATGCTCTCTTTGAAACTCTCCAAAAAGGAGAAAGAGCACGAAAGAAAACCAGAACGCATTCATTTTAAGTCAACCTCAAGTCAAGATCAACTTGTCCCTCCACAAAACCAATCTATCTATCCCCACTCCAATCCATTCATGGGCTCTGATTTTCTGAACATCAAATTTTAAACCATCAATTCCGCAAAACTAAGAGTGTTGAACATGTGTGACACACAGAAAACCCTGAACATCCAGTACCAGCAAGCATAAAGAGCAAAATCAAGGAACAAAGCTCCTAAGCAGTTGGGATTTTACTATTAGACAAGACAAATAAAAAAAAAAAAATGAACTTAACCTTCCCTTCTAACCTGAGTGTTTAATTTTGCTCCAAGGAAGAACAGGATGATGCATATATAATTCAAAAGGAAAGGCAGAAGAAGAATCTGCAGGACAGCACTCAAAAAAAAACAGCTTCAGCCTCAAAGTAATTAGCAGAATCAGATTCCTTCGTCAAATAAAAAACCCACAACAAACCATCCAGAGAAGCAATCCCATGAAGCCAAATATAATTATATTAATTATGCAGGAAAAAGAAACCCCAATGGAAATGCAGTAAAGAAAAGACCCATATTTCCCAAAGGAAAGGGAAAAGAATATTGAAAAGTAGCTGAATAAAAAAAGCTAAAACTAAGCAAGGAAAACAAAACTTGGGAAGCTATAGAAAACTAATTCCGACGTCACCACCCACCATCCGCCAACCACCAACAGACACCCATAAGCCGTATGCTTGTGAAATTAGAAAAACAGAAATACAATGTAACTGGGTACTTGGGTCTTTTGAAAAACAAATCTTTGCTGCGAATTTGAACAAAAAAATAACAAAAAAAGAGAGAAGGTAAATCACGTGCAGGAAATTGAATGGTCGTGGCAATGCTTACCTGTTCTTCTTATTCTTCTTTTTTTTTTTCAGGGAACCGGAATCAACTCGGAATTATTGAAGATGAATAAAAAAAATTAAAAATTTTAGATTTTGAATACTACCCGTCTACTGGATTAACGAGAAAAATGCAGTGATAATCTTGAAAATCTTAGTAAAAATTGATGTACTACTGCCAAGCTCTAACTGGGGTAGGGATACCCATGTTTTTACAAAAGAAAAGAAATCTTCTTTTAGATTGAAACGGAATGAATACGACTGGGGACCCTTTGCTTTCAGTAAGGTCAAATCTGAAGAAGACGACATGACGAAATATCACACTTACAATTTCGTGAAGGACTTGCATGGAATTCCAGCCATTGGATTTGCCCATGGTTCTGACCGTAAGTGTACGACTACTACGAAGTAATGACTCGGGCCAGACGGAGCGAAGAAAAAGAGTGCACAAGGAGATTAACTTTAGTCGTAAATACAATTTTGAAAATATATTATTTAAATCGTATTTCATATTAAAAAAATAATTTAAATAATTATTATTATTAAATTATTTAATTT